TTTCGCTTATTGGATTGCAACACCGATGTTACCTTTGCTATATGGAGTTGTGTAAAAAAAAAAAGAAAAAAAAAATGAAAAAAAAAATGAAAAACGGGAAAAAAAAGTAAGGTATATTTAATAAAACGATTCACGAATCACACAGTCAAAATAAAGTAAAGTAAAATAAAGTAAATTAAATTAAAGTTAATCGATTAAGAAAACGAGAGAGAGAGAAAGGAAGAAGAAAAAGCGAATGAAGGGTCAAAAGTAAAAAAAAAAAAAAATGAGAAAAAAAAAGGGAAAGAATTTCATTGGAGAAACAGTCGGTACATGTGTCGTATATTAAATAAATAAATAAATGAATGAATAAATAAGTAAATAAATAAATGAATAAATGAATTAACGCCGATTAATCGTTAAATGAATATAATAAATAAAATAAATGATTAAATGAATAAATAAATTAATTAATTAAATTAATTATTAAGGTGATTACATTGTAATTATAGTATGTACATTAATTTATTTCGAATTAAACTCCAATATATTGAAATACATTATATAATAAAAGTGTAAAAGTGTACGAGGTAAACATATTATTATGATAATATATACATATATATATATATATGTATATATATATATATGTATACATATGCAACATACATACATACATAACATACATATATATGTATATATATATATATTTATATATTTATATATATATATATACACATATATATATATATATAATGCAAGAAAGGTGACGAGAAAGATGGTGGTAATTAAAAAAAAAAAAAAAAGAAAAAATGGAAAAAAAAGGGGAAAAAAAAAGAACAAAAACAAAAAGTACTGTTTATACGATAACAAAAGCAAGAGTGTAATATTAATCGTAACCGTGATTATTCATTTATTAATACCAATGATTCATGGAAACGATGAAAAAGTTTATTTACTTGTAATGTTATCATCATTGTATTTATTCATATTTTACAATAAATAAGACAACAGATTCTTTATCGTTTATTACGAATCATACTAAACCAATAAATAATTTCTTTTGGATATAAATTAATAGAAAAGAAAGAAAGGAAAACAAAGATCCTTAATAAGATAATAAATATTATTTTTTAACAATTATATTTCCAATTTAACATTCGTCGAAATCTTTTTAATTATTTCAAATGAATGATTTTCTATTAGATTTGACATTTTAAATTTCGCGCCGATTCTAATCTAGACGATCCAAATTTTTCTGTTCCGTTCCGTTCCGTTCCGTTCTAATCTGTTCTGTTTTAACAATCACATCTAATCGAACAAATGAAAAATAAATATTTTTTCTAATCGTTTGATAAATAAGACATTTTAAATTTTACGCCTATTTTAATCTAGATAATCGAAATCCTTCATTAGTCTCGTACGAATTAATAAACAATTATTTCGATATAATAAATAAAATAATTATCTTTCAATGATTTTATAACATTCGACCGATCACACGATTATCATATAGCATATATATTTAAATGGATATATATTTATATGTATATATATATATGTAAAAGCTAGAATCAAAAAAAAAAAGAAGGTTAAGTCTCGAATGTTCTCGTATTTTCGATCAAACAATCAAAAAGAAAAGGAAAGAAAAAAGCAAATCGCCATTCTAACCTCAAATCTTAACAATCGATTAATTAATTGCTTCTACGATGTATGTACATATAATTGTATTTGTATATATATAAAGAAAAAACAATAAGGAAAAGAAAAATATTACGCATTATCAAAAAAAAAAACCGACCTTAAAAAATTAACCTCAAAAATGAAAACGAAAAATTAATTCGAGTGCGAGAGGTGAAGAAAAAAGAATTATTTATTAACGCGATAATTTTGAAACATTTCGTTTGATAATCAAAATACAATCAATAATAATAATAACAATAATAATAATAATAATAATAATAGTAGTAACAACAATAACAATAATAATAATAATAATAATAATAATAATAATAATAATAATAATAATAATAATAATAACAATAACGATGATAAGAAAAATAATAGTAATCTAAAAAGAAAAGAAGAAAGAAATCATGTACGTGTAATCATGGACGATGGTACATTCGTAAGTCGTATACATCAGTGCGTTGTCATCGAGAAGAAACCGAACACATGAAGAAATATACACACACATATACACACACGAGCCTTTGTCGAGTGTTTATATCAGTTTAGTAATGGCGACGATATATGCGTATACATATATATATATATATATATATATATATATATATATATATATATATATATCTTTCAATGCTCTCCGATTTTCAATATTCACTCTCTCTCTTTCTCACTCTCTCTCTGTCTCTCTCTTTCTCTTTCTCTCTACGTATACGAAGTTTACACAAATACACGTCTTATGAATGTTCCGTTATGATATAAAATATAATTGTGTTGGTAATGGCGATTCCGAAAATTGTGGTTGCGTTGGTAATAGTGTTAGTGAATCGTAATGGCTATTCCGATAGTTGTGTGATTGTGTGTTGGTAGTAATGGTAATGATGGTAATGGCGATTCCAACAGTGTAGGAATTGTGTTGGTAGTAGTGATAGTGGTGGTAATGGCGATTGCGACAGTTGTGTTTATATTGATTATGTTGGTAGTAGTGGTAATGGTGGTGGTAGGTTGCCATCGTGGAAGAGATCAGCAGGCGATTCATGTATATCAGTGTAGTGATCGTCAGTGTGTCGTCCAAAAATAGATAAATGGACGACGAGCGTGCCGTTGTTCTCGTATGTGTTCGGTGGTTTTATTATCCCAATGTGACAATGTTATACCGTATAACGAAATTATTTATAATCAAACAGATTTAATTGATGAGAGATTGTTATAGTTAGTAATGGAGGTTCTTAAAACTACACAAGAAATCGTTCATGAAGGATGGCTCATCAAATCGCCACCTACTAAACTATGGAGAGCTGTAAGTTTTATTTGTTTAATGGCATTATAGATGATTTATTGGTCGTTCAATTTTTCTTTTCTTTTCCCTTTTTTTCTTATTTTTTTTTTCTTTTCCTTTTGTTATTGTCGTTATTATCATTGAGCTCAAAATGAAATTTATTATTGTATCATTTGTTTACATTTGTTCATTTGTAAGTTAATTCCAACAAAACTTCTTTTCTTTTTTTGTTTTTTCTTTTTCTTTCTTTTGCTTACAATTGAAATCCTAACCTTATTTTTTTTCCTTTATGTTTTTCTTTTTCATTCTATTATACTATTGCATCCTATAAATTACATTATCAAAAGTTATAATATTTTTTAATAGGATTACTTAAATTTTAATTTAACTTTTAATTTTGTTATTACAAAGGAATGAATCTTTATTATCTCTTGACAATAATGTCGATTGGTTCTTTTTCTTTTTTGATTTTTGATTACAGCGATGGAGAAAACGTTGGTTCGCATTAAGACACAGCGGTGAATTACCTGGACAATACTTTTTAGAATATTATACGGACAGACGTTGTAGAAAATTAAAAGGTCGTATAGATCTTGATCAATGCGAACAGGTAATATATAATTTATAAGAAATTTTTTAATCATTTGTCAATTGTTATTATATCATAAATATTTTTTCTAGGTTGATGCTGGTCTTAGGTTTGAAAATTGTAAACAAAAATATCAATTTACGTTCAATGTTAAAACACCAAAGAGAACTTATTATTTGGTAGCTGAAAGTGAAGCCGATATGAACAAATGGGTCGCTGCTGTTTGTCAAGTTTGCGGTTTAAAGGCTTACACTCAAGATGAGGAACAACAATGTCAAAGTAAATCGTTATTTCATTTATATTATAAAAATCAAAAAGATAATTTTATTCTATGATTTATGTATAAAAACAATTTTTTATTATATATATATATGTATATATATATATATATATAGTGTTTCAATATGAATCCCAAGAATCACCACCGATCTCACCAACAAGTACAATATCTGGGCCTTATATTCCTATTAGCGAATGTATATCTGGTCGTCGTCTTAACGATACCAGTTCTCTTAGTTCAGGAATGGGACAAGGACCAGAACATTATGATGCTCCAAGAAGATTAGCACCTTCACCACCAAGATCACCTACGACTACTGACGCAGAAAGTGTCTTTACGGATGATGAATGGACAGCTCCTGTACCAAGTGTCAATTGGGATACATTTCCAGGTAATAAAAGATCGATCAAGAAAAAGAAAAGAACAAAGTTATCAATCGTATATATAATTGAAAAAAAAAAACATATGTATGTGTATATATATATATATATTAAACTTAACATATAAAAACAGCCGACTCCAGAGGTCAGAATTCTGTTGACGCTGAGATAGGCTCATGGAGCGTTAGAAAGAGATTTGGAAAGTTAAGAATAGTGGATTCAACTGTACCACCTGCCGTAGAAAAATTATCAGCACCACCAAGACCACCTAAACCGCCGCACATGTTACCTGAAAATCCTGGACATAATTATTTAAATTTGGATGGTGCTACTGAAAGTTCAAAGCCAACAACACCTGCTACACCAGCGCCAAATACTATTGCAATTGGTTCGGTAACGGATGAATCATATGATTTTCCTAGATCCCATCAATCTGGACAGACAACGGAGAAACATGTTTATTCTAATGCCGCACCAAGTACAATAGAAGAGACACGTGTTTTCCGATATGATTTTCATGAGGATGAGCCACCAAGTCCAAGATCGGAAAGTTCAGTGACAGCAACTTATTCGAATTTACCAAGTCCATTGATAAGAGATAATAGTACAGTTGTTTCAATATCATCATCATCAACGATTGCTGTTCCACCACCGCCTGTTGTTTACAGAGAATTAAAACCAGGTAGAAAAACAAGCGATTCTACGTCAATTATTAGCAACGAGGCATCACCTGGTACTAATTTATCAACGTTAGAAATGAGCTCTAGCGAACATTCACCTGCTGAACCGCCAAGTATTAATAGAAAA